GCTCAGCAGCCTCAGATGGTGGCCCCACTGGGGTGCAGTCACGGCACAGCATGAGCCCACACGAGAGTGCTCTGCTTCCCTGTGACTACATCCATAGGGCGCGTTCCCAGGAGGAGATTGTTGGTCACAGGCAAATGTGAGAGTTCACTGGTGGTGGCAGGTGGTGCCGGGGTACGGAGACCCCCGAGGGAATGAGGGGAGGTTTCTGGGGGGGCCGTGCCAACCCCAGGCTGCATCTGTTCAGTGAGTTTTCTCACTCGTTGCCATGGGCCAACCCCTTTGTCTTCTCGGGGCCCCTATTTGGGTCTGGGGGATGATCCCCAACCTCTGAGGTCTGATCTCCCTCCAGCGGCCTGTGCCAGCCTCGTGGTCCCTCCAGACTGCCTCTCGGGGCAGTCCCCTTGACGTTCATCCGGGAGGGTTCCAGTGTATGGATTGGACTTGGCGAAACAGCCCACTGTTTTTCCTGCTGCCCTCGCCCTTCAGTTGGGAGTAACTCCAGGAGGCCTCACTTGTGGCCATCTTGGACCCTGTAATCCAGCCCCGGCGGCTCCTGTCCAGACAGGAGGACGGGACGTGGCGGCCTGCGTGCCGGGGCCTGCCCTGGAGTGGAGGCCAGCAGAGGCCTGTCCCCGGCTACCCTGGGGATAGTCATCTTTCCGGACTCCACCTCCCACCCATCACCTATGCTCTCGGCAAAGCTCTCTCCTCTTCCGGAGCCGGGAACTTTCATTTCTCGGGGTGTCAGGTGCTCCGGGCCGGGCCCTTCTCTCAGCCCCCAAGCTAACACGTCTCCGTAAGGCATGGACTGCATTCCGGTCCTTGCAGGTGAAGACCGGATGGTGGTAGAAGTATCTGTGTTTGTCATTGAGGTGCTGGAAGCATAAACAGAGAGGAGAGGAGGGGTGGGGGTGAGGTTGGTACTTTCCAGAGAGTTCTAAACACGATGCCTGCTTCTGACTGGGCCCTGAGAGCTTTCCAGCGGGTGGGGTGTGTTCTTTATACAGTTACAGTTTGTTAGCCAAGTAAACTGGAGTAAATGTTTTTGTTCACCGTGATGCCTGTTTGCCTTCATTCTCCTGGAATGTGGCTGTGTACCTGGCACACCTTTTACGGTTTCCTGGTTTTGCCATCAGGCACAAGTGTAGAGAAGAA